CATTGTTCAAACATTTTTTGACATGAATTTTTTAATGATCTTAACAGTAACTAGAACATTACACAATCATTTGCCTTGTCTCTGAGCGTTAATTGAAATTATATTTCATTCGTTCTTCGAGTTAATATAGTGGTAGAAGTTTATATGGGTACAATCGTGAAAACTGTAAAGAGGGGTATGTTATTTACCCTCACTAAATTGAAAGAATAAGTTGCGATGACCGCAAATAATAGTGTCAATAAATATTTTAAAATTGGTCGCATTCAATTAAAAGTTACTAATTTTTACAATTGCTCTTTCATATTATTTCCATGCAAAATCGCGTAAATACATTTGGCAAGAGGTAGACATCCACCATTCATTATGCTATTTTAAAACTTATTGGAAATTTAGATGCATGTTTGTCGCCTGCTAGACGCCGAGGAAACAATTTTTCTCTGCCGTCTGTACTACCTATCGCGGATCGTGGCAGTTGTGGCTCTTGCGATAAGCCTCTGCCCTCTTTAAGGTCACTGAAACGGAGCCCTGCCGGAGTGGTCGCCCACTGCTTTGAAACCACAAATGATCAGTGGCCTCAGCGATAAGAGCGGAGGCCGCGCCAGAGCGGCACAGCACGCAGCAGTGAATGTGAATCAGGCCGTCAAAAACAGTACTTCCTTGTTGCCGTCCCCGCACGGTAGAGTGCAGGGTAAAGAATGCGCACACAATTTCTTGGAAGAAAATTGTGTTTTTTGCGTTATGATCAAGCAGTAAGTAAGTGGTAAGTAATGCAGGCTGTCCCATGTTAGTAGATTTATTCCTGTAAAAGATCCTCAAGCCTCTGAGCTATATTCAAATCTCCTGTTTCGTCGCCCAAGAAGTACCTCCTTTCCCCGCTAGTGGGTGAATAGAGCGTAGCGAAATTTGCGTGGTCAGACGGAAGAGCGGGCCTGATTGCCCGATTCTCGCCATGTTAAATAAGACATCAATTCAATTCAATACGTTTCCCCCCACAGTGCCATTAAGTTTGATGAAGAGTCATTGCTGTTCAAGCTGGTTGCATTTCTGTTGTCATACTGTAACGTGTTTCAGAGCTAAATATGTGTACATCCTAAACACATGTAGGCTTGAAGTTGGAGTATGGCGACCGAAATCTTAGCTGCCATGTCTACGATGTGACCTCTTTCGGACTGCCAATATTACATTGATTTTAGCGACATAAATGATACATTTTCACATTCAATTACATCGAAATAAAACTTCAATCCAATACAGATTTGAAATACGAAGGAATTAGAAACTGGGATGGAAACAATCATAAAGTTTATTAATACCGCATTAAGTTGACATTTTTCTTTAAAGAAGACAACCTACATATATTTTCATTGATACGAGAAGTGTAACGCGGCCGCGGTCAACAACCCTGGGGCGCCCTCGGCCGCCGCCTCCGTCTCGTGCGTCTTGCGCGGCCAGCATCTTCTGGCAGCCGCCCAGGGCTCCGTCGGAGCTTCCTCTTTAAGCACCGCGCTTTGCTGCACGCCCGCACCGACCCGCGTCATGGGCATGGAGATGTTGATGGTGGTGGCTATGGTGTGAGCATGTTGAGTATGTGAACCAGGGTGCGGGAGAAAGAAGACGGCGACAAGAAAGAATATTCCATTACTGCATTATTGTTTCTCTATCCTTCTTTCCCCTTCATTGTCGTCACGTTTTTTGCCTTTAAATAATACCCAGAAATGTATTCCAAAATTAAAAATCTCATCGTGTTCCAGAGATACAATAATGATTAATATAAACAAAATGTGAATGAGTATTGAAATTGATGCAACTGGCTTATCTTTCCATTTTCTGATACTTTGTTTAATTTCCCGCTGTCTTTCACTGAAATTCTATCAAAAATTCCGTGTTATGTGTAGGTAGTGATGAAAACGTATAATCTAAACGTTGAAGTAGCTTTTACTTTTCCAATATATTTGTATTTTATATTTAAAGAGATTTTAGAAAGCACATGTTAGAAGACATTCATCGTAGCCTTTCCAAATAGCGCAATAACACCCTTTTTAAGCAAAAGAACATCTCGCATGAACTTGTTTTTTCAAAATTTAATTAACTATTTATTTCCATAAAAATTATTTCTGCGCTATTTTTCAAAATTAGAACATCAATCACAACTTCTTTCATAAAGCAGTTCTATAATATCATGTAATAATGTTATATTATTTTCGTCAAAATTTATTAGGAACCTTTCATGTTTATAATTAATTTAATCGTTATATCTCACCCAAATCGAAATCGTTTACAGAAATCTATGTTCTAACATGCATGGTTACGGACACCAAGAGGCAATAGCAAAATGGATATTCAAAATATTAATAGCAAATGTCTATTCTATCCATTTTCTGTGAATGGATTGTCTTCCCAGCTATCTTCAACTGTGTCAATAAGTCCGTCAGAAGTAGAGTAAAAGCATTTCACACTTGTGGAAAATGAAAAAAATCATGTCAAGAATTTTAAATGTTGTGTCCTGGAGTGTGTTAGTCTCTTAGTAGTCGCATACGAGGAAAAATAGAACCGGCGAGGGCTGTCTTGCGACCCTCTCCTCCCCCGCGAAGGCGCGCGCGCTGGCAGCGCTCGATGGAGAAAGCGAGAGCAGTAAACAAGGCCGTAACGGTTGTTTTATACGCGAATCTTAAACACTACATTTATCAAGCGGTCGGCTATCGGGGCGGCGGCGATGGGGGGCGGCGTGGCCGGGAGGAGAGAAGAGGTTGCAGGGAGATGGTGGCGGGGGCGGGGATGGGAAGAGAGAAGAGGGTGGACGGGTTTTGGGGCGGTGGCGGGAGGGGAGAGGGGTGGGTGATGGACCAAGGGAGGAGACCGCTGGGGAGAAAAGAGGAAGTGGCAGGCTTCGGCCCGAGATGGAATGAGCTCCCCGGGGCACCGCAGTTCATTTGGGGCCGCCGCCGCCATCCATCACAGCCCGCGCGCTGCATGCGCTCCGGGGCGCCACGCCACGCCACGCTGCGCGGGCCACGCCTGCCAGCTCGCTGCTGCGTTCATACAGGAATTGCACCGAGCCCACAGACGAGATTTACTTTTGTCTTAGTGTGTTATTTTCCATGTCCAATTATGAGCTACGTTTTTTCAGACATAGAAACTACGTATAGATGCCGGGAGGCAATAGCCTGGTGATAGAAAAGACTAACGTATAATTAACTAACAAAATTCTGTTTATAAAATAGTTGAATGACTTCAAGTAAAATATTCAAAATATCATAAATTCATGTGTTAAGTTTAAAAAAAATATCTGTTTAAGTCAAATTATTTGAATTAAAATAGAATCAAAAGCAAAGAAGTCAAATGTTTAAAACAAATTTCTTTTGTTAAAGGTTTCTGCTACTCATATTTGCAATGCTCTCCAGTATTTTACAATCTAAATCTAATAATTTGACTACCACGACTATGGCCATTAATTCAATGAAGAATTATCAATTTTTGAGAATTTGGATGTATATTATTCTGAAGATTCCCAGTCTTATATTTTAAAATTTTTACGTGTTGATGACAATCGAATTATATTAGTTCTTGTACATTTATAAATCTTTACATATTGTTTCTTTTAGGGCCAAGTTAACCCGGTCATTGCTAGCTAGCAGTGTTTTCTAGATATCATTGTTGCTTCTAAATATTTTGTTCTATTGTTTCTTCATTGACTGGTTACAACATGAATTATTCCGTGTAACATGTTTTCCTGATAAATTTCATTTTAATTTTATTTAACCATTTTAAAAATAAAATATACTAGATTAATAATATTGGACACAAATGTCCAGTATTATATATTCGCAGAAATTAATTCCAACATATATAGGAATAATATAAATATTACATAAAATAAAATAAATAATTTGTTTGGAAAAGAAAATATCATTTTTTTAGATTTGTTAATACTGAATACTCCGTTGACAATTCAATTTTTCTTCAAGTATTTACGTTATATCACTTTGATATAATGTGTTAAAAATCCTGGAGAGAAGGGAAAAGTCAAATTGCGTATGCGCAGGGCCTTCCTTTTATTTACCGAGAATTGATGGAGCGGCGTCGCCGCAAAGGTTGAGCGGCGGTGGCGCGGGCGACCCTCGCCGCCGGAGAGCGACCGGCCAGTTCGCCGTCGCTGCGGCAGGGTGCGCCCCGGG